AACCAATTGACACAGAAATCGGAATAATCAAGAGTGAAAGCCAGTAAGCAGACGTTGTAAAATAAATATATTGGATTTGATTTTTAAAATAGAAATTCTTATTTTTATTTTAATATTAAATTTCGAATGTCCATAAAAAATACCTAAATAATTGGTAACAAACACGTTGAATCATATAAAATTATATAATTTCTCTCTTTCTCTCTCCTCTCTCTCTCTCTCTCTCTCTCATATTCAATATATTCTATATAACAATACAAATTTCTTGTAATTCTTTCCTTTTCTATTTATGTTTTATAGCTATCAGAACGGTCCAGACACATATCTTCTTCAATTGCGAGATACCGATTTCCCAGTACGACTACGCGAATATATGAAAGTTGCGTGCAATCGTAGCCCCGGTTTCTCACGTTCTGTTACCGAAGACAACGGCTTTGACTGGAGGGTAGCTAAAAAAAACTGTATTTAAAATGAAAAGAATATCATCTTCAAAAATATTTATTTAATTATTTATCTTATTATTAGGCACCCATCATACGAGAACGTCGTCGATTCACGGATGTTATGGATGAGGAGATCGACGATGAAAGAAGGGCACGCATCAATCGATACGGATCTGCGGACACGTTTACGCTTAGACGTTTAAAGAATGAACTAGGTACTCGGTTAGACAGTTACGCTGAAGCTGAGGCGATGATCGAATCGAAAAAGGATGGTCAGCCTCCGTTCTTCCGCGAAAAGCCGCAGATTTGCCCAATCGAAGAGGGGAAACCGGCGCATCTCACCTGTCTAGCCGTAGGAAATCCGAAACCACTGATACAGTGGTTTAAAAACGATATGGTCATACAAGAGAACAATAGAATCAAAGTGACAGAGGACTCTGATGGAAGATCTATTCTTAGTTTTAATCCTACAAAGGAACATGATATCGGAATATATAAAGTCGTGGCAAGGAACCCGATAGGACAAACAATCGTTAGGACCAGGGTATTGCAGGCAACGGTTTCTTGCGGTCCGGATTCTCCAGAGGTAATCTACAGTGCAATAATTAAAGTGAATTTTGAAGTGGCGATCAATTTATATACAAAAACGATATTTCCATTTTCGTGTTGTTTTATTATTTTCGACTTTCTAGGCTACCGATGTTTCGGATACCGAAGTTCTCCTGCGATGGAAGCAGCCAAAGTATGATGGCAACTCGCCCGTGCTATGTTATAATTTACAGTACAAGGAGGGTGATTCAATCGCATGGATAGACGTTGCCTTCAACATTGACCACGAATTCTATCTGGTGCGCGATTTAAAGCAAGATACGAGTTACAACTTTCGTTTGGCAGCACGTAACCGCATCGGTTGGAGTGAAAAGGGCATTCCGTCAAAGTTAATCAAGACGCGACCGCCGGGTTGTCCAAAAGTACAAATTACGCGGGCAATGAGACATCTCCAAGAGCTAACCGAAGCCGGCCAAGAGATTGTCCTGGAAGAGGACAAGCCACACATCGATTACTCTATAGAGGAGAATCCGATTGGATGGTTGGTGGAACCACAACTGTCCACCAAGTATAGTTTTATCTCGGAGCTGTCGCGCGGACAATTCTCCGCAGTGGTGAAGGGTGTAGATAAGAGCTCAGATCGCGTGATCATTGCCAAGATCTTGGAATTAAATGCCGAGACGGAGAAGCAGGTGAACCAGGAATATGAAGTATTACATTCACTGCGACACGAACGGATAGCCATGCTGGAGGCTGCCTACAAAGCGTCTAACTCGCCCGTGGCGGTGTTTATCATAGAGAAACTTCAGGGTGCCGATATACTCACGTACTTCTCCAGTCGGCACGAGTATACAGAAAACTGCGTGGCGAATGCTATTACACAGATTCTCGATGGTCTGCAGTATCTTCACTGGCGTGGATACTGTCATCTAAATATTCAGCCGGACAATGTCGTCATGTCGTCTGTAAGATCAGTTCAGGTGAAGTTAGTTGATATGGGGTCAGCTCATAGAGTCAGCAAATTGGGCACAATGGTGCCCAAGCATCTGGGTCATCCTGAATACAGATCGCCCGAACTTTACAATGATGAACCTGTCTATCCGCAAACGGACATCTGGATGGTCGGTGTGTTGATCTATGTATTACTATCTGGAGTTTCTCCGTTCCGTGGTAAGGATGTGGACGAGACCAGACAGAATATATCCTTTGTCAGATACAGATTCGAGTATCTTTACAAAGAGCTGAGCCAAGAGGCCACCAGATTTCTCATGTTGGTCTTTAAACGCGCACCAAGGTTTGTAATAACTTAAGAAAGTTTTCAAGATATTAATATAAAAATAATGGGGAACCCCCATGGGATCTCCATTATCACCTATAGTAGCAGATATGATTATGCAGGATTTTGAGGAAATGGCTATTGGTTTATTGCCTGTTCAGTTACCTTTTTATTACAGATATGTAGATGATATTATATTGGCTGCCCCAGTTTCTAGCATTAATGACATTTTAAGTATTTTTAATTCATTACACACAAGATTACAGTTCACTATGGAGATTGGCAATGATGGAAAAATAAGTTTTCTGGACACGTATATTATTGTTAAAGATTTTTATATGATTTTTGATGGTTACCGAAAGGCTACTTTTTCTGGCAGATTTCTTAATTTTCATTCCCAACATCCTGTTTGTCATAAAAGAGGCGTTATATACAGTGTTATTGATAAAATTGTTCGTTTGTGCCATCCTACTTTTCAACAAAATAACTTAATTGATGCTGTTAATATATTTTTAAATAACGGATACCCTCTTCAATTCATTTTTTCAACAATTCAGAATAGAATAAAATACCATATTAACAATAATAATTTGAACTGTAATAACGCTTCTTTAAATAAATTTTTCGCTGTTCCATTTGTTAATTCAATTTCGGAGAGATTTAAACCAATTGCTAATGTAGTAGATTGTAAACTGGCTTACACTATTCCTAACACACTTAAATACTACATTAAAAGAGGCAAAGATAAATAGAACATACACATAATCAAAATGTTGTTTATAAAAATATCTTGTGAGAATTGTGATGTTAGCTATGTTGGCCAGACGAAGAGACAATTGAGAACTAGAGTAAAAGAACATGTCTCAGACATCAATAAAGATTCAAAATCTCCATCAGTTATTACTAATCATAGAATTGAAACGAATCATGATTTCAAGTGGAATAGCGTGAGAATTTTGGACATAGAACCTTCCTACAGAAAACAACTAATTTCTGAAATGGTCTATATTAAGAAACAAACACACGGTATAAACAGACAAAATGATACGGAGTCATTGCCAGATTCGTATACTAACATGATTAGTTCCCTTTCCAGTTCTTAATTTTCCACTGTTCTTGTCCTCTCTCGACTTTCTGCCGGTACATTATGTTGTCTGACGTGCTCAAGAGCGGTTGCTTTCGCAAGTGCAAAATAGTTTAATTATATTGAAGCTCATACACATATGGATTTTTATAAATTTAATTGTTTTCCATTTTCATCGGATAAGGTAAATCACTGCTGTTTTAACTGGTTTTATTTTTATTTTTATTTGACATTGTATAACGAATTTCTATTACACCTTTTGAATTTTGTTTAATTTATTTATAATTGTTCTTAGAGATGTTCGTGTTTGCATATTTAGCATAGTTTCAATAGGTCATAACTCCTTTTTTATTTTTCTTCTGACAAGGTAAAATAATTTTTCCGTTACTTTTATTTTCATCTAACATTGTAAAATAATTTTTTGATAATTTGTTTAAGTTTATTTTACATATTACATATTTTCTTCCTATAGATGTTCGTTATTGCAAGTTAATTTTATTTTCAATGGACTACTTATACTTGACTTAGAACGACATGAATATTCTTACAAAATTAAGAGATCGTTATAATTATTTACTCCTTTCTTCTGAGTTCTTATATTTTTACAACAGCTATTCAATACATTGTATTATTTACTCATTAAGAAATGTTACTATTAATTTATTATGTATTATATTATGTTAGCGACATGATGTTATGTTATTTTTATTTTTATTTTTATTATGTAATTGGAAAGTTTTTTTATTGTTACCGGATTTCTAAGTTAATTTGTGTTTTTTGCATTGATAATAACCCGATCGGAGTCGAAACGTATGTAATGTTATTTTTCTAATTATAATTGTTTGTTAAAATATTGGTTCTATGCCCTTTTAATATTCATTTAGTTTAATATAAAAATTTATTGTAATCGGATGTTTTGTAATTATACTTAATATTAAATGTGGAATAATTTTTTTATTTAATAGGAAGTCTCTTATATATTTAAAAAAATGCATTAATTTTTTAGCAAAAGGCCATTAGCGGAGGAATGCCACGAACATCGATGGCTACTGCCGACAGAGTTTATGATCAAGAAACGCGAGAGGGCTGTGTTCCTAGGCAACAGATTGAAGGAATATAATGAAGAATATCACGAAGAAAAGTCGAAGATAGCTTCCGACAGTAATAGCCTAGGGAGTGAGAGTTTGCTGGGTTCCAAACAGAAACTCATCAGGTCAACCAGTATACAAGAAGAACTGCGGACCACGTTCTAACGATGGAAAGCTGCAATTTTTTATTTATATTTATGTACACACACACACGCACACGCACAACATACACTGACACGTGGCCGTATCACTTCGCGTACATGTTTAGTCTATATCTAAACAGCGCGGAGAAACGACGAAAAATGAGAAACAAGCAGAGACATTATCTCTCCTTGTCTTCTCTTTTGTTATTATTTATTTGTTACAACTTGTAATTATAACAAAAATTATTGATCGATCGTCGATGTTATGCCGACCTTTATCAGCAGTCAAATTTTTCAACCGTCCGTTAATTAATTCGACGAGTACAACACAAACAAATTGTGATTTACTCATTTCAATAAATCAAAATAAAAGGTACATGGAATAATAAATAATAAATCAATTTTTTTTTGAAGTTTAATAAAAATATCAATCGAGCATTGTACGAAAATTATAAATAAATACTTGTGACAAAATAGTGTGTACACTTGTAATTTTCAGTTCTTATTAGTGTGAGATACTTTTTACATATTCAATATTTGTATGTTTTACACAAAAGATATATACTCATATAAGTTATAGTTACTTAAATATATTATTAAACACCCACTTTATTTACAATTGCTCGTTGGCATTACAATGTCTCGTCAAGAAAAAAAAAACATTGTGCACATGATGTACTTTTAATTTTTTATGTTTACATTTCTTTCATACATAATGATATAAGTCATAATTAAAGTGTATTAATACAATTTCGCTAGAACAGTCCGAAAATTGAATTATATGAAACTGAAAGCGATGATAATCTCTTTCAGACAAAAAGACTAGCAATATTAAATTGAGTTAAATCATAATTAACCTAAAGCAGATTTGAGCAAATTCTGTACTCATATACTAAAAAGAGGCATGGAACCAATTTGAAAAATGTAAATAATCATTTGTTAATTAAAATGTTACAATGTAAATCATCTTTTTGCATATTGCATTACATAATCTTTAACTTTACTTCGAAAAGATTCTTTATCCTTAATAAACAAATCTGCTGCATCTCTATTCAAAGGATCGTCAAAGTTTAGGAGATCCTAAAAGAAGCACAAGTACACATATAATATGTTTAACATAATCGCATCAATCAAATGAGTTATGCAACAGAAAATACTTGTATACATACAGTGAAAAGAGAATTTAAACCCCATACAACGTCTTTTAGTTTGCGTGTTGGTGCCCATCCCATGCCATCAATACTACTTTGTCTTAAAATAGATAGGCATACATCACCATCCTCGCTTATGTTAGGATGCCATAACTTTGTTAAGCATTTTACCACTGGCGGCTGAAAAATATTATTTAACACAATGAGAATTTAGCCGCAACTTTCGATTTTCATATTGACAAATATTCCCATCTTCTCTTTCCTTCTTATCCCTTTCCTTCCTAAAGGGAAGAGATAAGAAGAAAAAGTCCTTTCCTTTCTTTTCCTTTGCAATATCTTAACATGTTGATAAATACACTATAATTAAGACATACTATGCCCAGTGAGCTGTAATACACTGGAGCTCTATAATATACTGGAGCGCACCATTGGCGAATGGGGGTGTCCCAATTCTTAGACAATGACATTCTGGATGGGGTCGAAGTCTTAGGCTGGCGTCTCATGAGCGGAAATTTACAGCAGAACGGAACAACAAGACCAATCACAATCGTAGAAAGGAAAGTTAGAGTAATGACTGCAGAGTTATGATTGGTCTCGCTGTTCTGTTTCACTGTAAATTTCCATCAATGGGATGTCAGTCTTATTATGAATGCTTTGAAGCATTTGATTGACCAATCAGAAGAATTTTACGAATTGACCAATCAAAGAATGCTTTCAAACCATTATGTTGACCTCTGATGCAAAGATAGTTTTTTATGTCAAGAACTCACTGATTGGTTAACGCTGTTTGCAGGAAAGAATCATAAAGACATGTTTTCCTTCATTTATTTGTCTTCCTTTTCTCCGTCACGTTGCAGTTTTCTTTTATTTTCTTTTATCTTCTATAGTTCAGTACAGGAAAGGCACGTTCCAGTAGTGTATTACAGAGCTCACTGGCGATGCCACTGATTTAACAGGTAATTCTAAGATAACTACGAGTAAACTGAGGTAACATATAAAAATCAAAGAATATGAAATTACCGCCATGTTGTAATCTTCGCTTATGTAAATTTGAAAATAGAAATGGCCACCAATCCAATATCCCTCATCTGGCATAATTAACAAGATGAATTCATGAAGACAATGTGGATCTTTAAATGTGACTTTACAAGTTACTGGCAACGTCTGTTCCATTTCCTGTACCTAAGAAAAATAATTCAACATGAACTTAGTTAGAATTCATATGTTACATCGTCGTCGTGATACATAAGAAATATTATATCAAATTGACCTCTTTGATCAGTAATTTATCTCGTATTGAGACTCGCCTGTTGTAATTCTTTGAATTTGCTATGTCATTGTCCTTTTTGAGTTTTCCTCGTAACGTGATCATATTAAACTGCACTAAAAACTTTTATTCACAAGAAGATTAAAATTGTAGCTTTTATTTTTTAATTTATAAAAATATAATTATATATATATATGTATTAATATAATGTTATATAAAGTCTAAAATTATTTTAAATAGGATACAAAGTAGAATTTGTGTATAAAGCAAACACAATGTCAAGAATGTTATTATAAATTTGTAACAGAAAAAGAGGCCAAAAGATAAATGCAAATTATAACAATTTAACGTTCATAAGATGCAAAGTCATGATATATGTCGTAATCAAATTAAAGAAATATTACAACATCAAGAAATACCATTACAATCATTTATAAAAACATAATTAGGTTAGAAAAATAACACATGCTTTATTTGATAATGCAATGTACCTTTCGTTGCCAAATTTAATTAGCCTCGTTTGCGTATCACCTGAATCGCGTACATTAAAGCATGTGTAAAGGAGGTTTTTTCATTTCTGCTTATTTTCAATTATTTTATTGCGCAATGTAAATCTACGAGAAAAA